CCCCCCCCCCCCCCCCCCCTTCTATGTTTTTCCCAAAGTCGGAAATAGAAAAAATGAAGGACTACCGAAGGTGACGACAGATTTCGGCTCTTGTGTACCGAAGTGGCAACCGCCAAAGGCGAACAATGCAAGGGCAGAGTGATCGTTGTCGTTGGTGCTGCTGCGACAGTTGCTGCTGATGTTGCTGCTGCGGCTTCTGTGGTCGCTTTTGTTATCGTTGGTGTTGGTTTGACCTTGTTGATGATGTTCTACCCCCTTTGTTTTTGGATAAAGTGTGTACCCTTTTGGGGTTTTTGGTTTGTGACCACGGAAGGCGTCCGCGTTAGTTTGCGCCGTCACGGACGTTAGAAGGTACAGTACTGAGCGGAGACCGGAACTGATTTTCATGTGAATACAACAACAACTTCATGTCCCAAAGTTTTGCAACACCACCAAGCGGTGTAATCCGCTTGCCCCCTCCCCCGTGTTTATCGATATCCCTTATTCAATTGACCACTGGTTTAGGCCCTAAACGACGTGTGGACACTTCTGATCTGCGGGAGAGAATCAACCGGAGCTTCGTCTGTGGGTGGCTACCTCACCAACATGGTGGCGGGAGTCGACTCCGAAGAGGCGTCCCGATCCCTCCTAGACAAGCTCCGCCGCGCCGCTGGGGGCGAAGCGTCCAAGGCGACCCTGGTGACGTTGGACGGAGGCGGCAGCGGGGGAGGGATTGTCGAGGCGAAGCCCCGGGAGGTCTTGTCGGCCATGAAGCTGTTCTTGAACAAGTGCCTCTGAGATGGCTAATAAATGCCTCTGAGATGGCGAACAAATGCCTCTGAGATGGCTGCTGCTGTTGTTACTGTTGTGTGATTGTTGTTGTCGTGATTCGCCCCCCGGGAGCGCTCGTTCTCTGTTGGGGTAGCGTGCGCGTTTTTGCTTTCTTTGCTAGCATCGACCGCGCTAACCGGCGGAACAATGATAAACACATGCGTTGTGTGTTAACAGTTAGTTATGCCCTGTTATGGGGTGTAGGGAGTGAGAAGAGCTTGGCTCGGGCCGGCGTTAAGGGCTAGACTTGCTGGACACCGTGCTGTGTACAGAAGTACCATATTGTATGAGGCGGTGAGATGGTACCCTCCGTAGACCGAGTTTCAAAGCTGGAGTGCTCGACAACCAAGTGGGTGCGGAAACATCCCGATAGGTCTACGGAAAGATCTCGACGAGATGCTCCCATAACCACCATTTTTGATGTTGGAGCAAGCTTGGTTGTGGAGCAATCGAGCATTAAACATCGGTCTAGGGGGGGTGCCATCTCTTCGCCTCTTACGGAATACCACGGTACGGTATACGGTACGGTACAGACAAGCTTGGTTGTGGAGCAATCGAGCATTGAACATCGGTCTAGGGGGGGTGCTATCTGTCCGCCTCTCACGGTACTCATGCGTGCTGTTTTCATCAGCACATTTTCTTCAGAGATACTTTTGACGGGGCAGTTAGCCGCAGGGCCTCTGCAAAGATTTTGCCGCCCGAGGGGTGCGCACGCGAAACCCTCGGCTAGGCCGGCTGCTGTTCCTGAGGCCGGGCTTCAAGAACGAATGTCTTGGCTGTAGAAAATGAAGAAAATGATGGCTTCCATCAAACTCTGATTCCTTATTCTGGATGTTTTCGGGTCAAAATTTTTCTAATGGTGGTATTTTTTCCGTTTGGAGAGGTTTACGGTTACAGACTACCGACTCGTAAGAAACACCAATCTTGAGCAAGGCTCATACAACGATTGAGCAAGAAGGTATGCGTTTCTATTAAATACTTCTAACAGGGATTAGTGCGGTGCCGTTGGCTGGCCCCATTTTTTTGCCGTGTTTCATTTGTAAATCTGAGCCTCGACTTCTTGTGTGATGTTTCCTTTGATGGGGCTGGCACTCACTGCTGTATGGCTAGCTGTGGTGAGTTTTTGTTATTTTTGCTTGGAAAAAAATATTTTGGGGACGTGTTAGTATTTTCTATCGTTTCTCCACGACAACCCCCTGCCTTTGAAATCATCAGCATCTCCGAGTGTTTTGGGATCTTGTTCGATCGGTGTTATTGTGATTCGACGTTTGCGTAGTCGTGCCAATGTTTCGAGAAGAAACGAGGGGGCATGATTATTTTTAATCGTTCCGAAGGTTGGGTGGTGTATTCGTTGATCAGCTCGACCGCTTCCCGATGCAATATTGTTGTATAGCGAGAAGAGAAACAGAGAGGGAGATATGTATAGAGAGAACGGGGGAAGTTTTGGGATATGGCATCAGGTACTATTGTACATGGTGAGGCCAACCTGGAAATCCACGCAGCAAATCGAAAGATGGTGTTCGTTGGTTCGCCACAGACTTGACGTTACAACCTCTGGATCGTTGACTGCGTTAGTTGAAGACATCGATATTTTTGTTTCACTCGTCTGCGGTGTCAAACATTGTCTTCGAGTGAACGCATTTTTGAGATTTTGGCTCCGGTGTATGTATGCGCATGTGTTTCCCCCACCCACTGCCGGCTGCGGGGGGGGCCGTCGATCAATGCTCTTTTTGTTGTCCTGTCTTGGCGTGATTGTAGACTACATGACTGTGGGCAACATTTTTTGTTTCACTTGACCCGATTCCGTGTAGAGCGCCGGGTGCCAGGATGGTCTACCGCGTTAGGCAAGTTTCATTTGCACCCGAAAAATTGGATGCGGACACCTACATCCCGCAGCCTGTTCTTGTTTGCAAGCGAGATTATTGCTGATGAGCCTTTTTGGTGTCGTCGTGCATGACGAGTGAGTGTACAGAGCCTCTCTCTTTGACTCGGAAGGCGAGGGCCAGAAACTTTCAGAACAAGTTCCGTGTTCATGTTACTACTGTACCCTTCCTTTTGCACCTGAAGCTACTACCGTCGTGAGTATGCGTGTGAACGTAGTTTTGTTGGCTCGTATGTCTGGTGTAGAAGGCAACGAGCTTGCGTAGCGTCTGACTCCACGTAATAGTAGGTTGTTGCTACGGCATACGGTGTAGTTCTATCGTCAATGGTCTATTTTTATTTTTCCATCTGCGCTTGTAGTAGTCGATGCCCTGCGGCTGGTGGAAAAACACTTGGATTACAACAAGTACCGGACCTGTGATGGGTCATTCATCAGAGATTCGAATAGTATTTTATTCTCAACAGCGTACATGCTGTGATCATCACCACAGATTCAAACATTCAAAACACGCAACGCATACACCTGTGTCATTTCTATCGGGTTATGTGTATAGACATCCACTCCCGCTTCCCTTCCTTGTTACCTATTGCTGCTGTCCCTGCCGCTCTCTCTCTCTCTCTCTCTCTCTCTCTCTCTCTCTCTCTCGCCTCGCCGAGGGGCTGGCAAAACACAACCCCGTCTTGATCCCCAGCCACAGAAACGCCCACAAGCATGTGTTGGACTCCCGCGGCAAATAATAATCCGCTCTGCAGTTCCCCCCCAGGTCTGCCTCTGCTGTCGGCATATCGCGCGCCACAGCAGTAACACCTCGCGCTCTGCTGACTGCTCTTGTCAAAGGGTATGGGTAAGCACAATAAGGGAGGCGGGAAATCATGGGTAAGGGGTGGCTGGCAGCAAGGGAACCGCGGTAGCGGCGGTGGTGGTGGCAGTGGGAGGGGGAAGCCCGGCAGATATGGAGGGGGCGGCGGCGGCGGGGCAGGCTACGGAATATCGCCCACCCCCACAGCAAGGGCTTACGGCCTGCAGCAGCAAGCGAGAAGAGGGGGAGGAGGTGGTGGCGGCGGCTGGGCCGGGTCCAGCAAGCGTGGTGGAGGTTTTGCACCGACCAGTCATGCCGCGAGAGAATCTTTCTACTCGCAGAAGCAGGGCCCACCGCGATGGCACCAAGAAGCTGGGCTGCCACCAATATCCGACTCGTTGCACCAACATCAGCAGCATCAGCAGCAGCGCAGCATTGGAGGTTACCAATACTACGAGAGCAGGAGCAGCAATGGCGGCGGCGGCGGTGGGAGGCACACCGCGCGCGACCTCCTGTCCCCGGCGTTCTCGCAGAACTCTTCCCGCCGCCGCATTGAATTCCACAAGGCCACCAAGCCTTCGACAATCTTTTCTCCCTCCGGAGGACCTACTACTTCAGCGTCTTCTCCAAACGTCGACGATAGAACCAGGGCGGGTGGCCAGAAGCCGAGGACAAACGCCGGCGAGGGCGCAGGGAGTAGGGAGGGAGTGGCGGGAGGTGTAGACGACCTTGCCAGGCTAGCGGAGAAGAAGATAGGGCTGCCGCCTCCGGGCAAGGTATGTACGATCGACGGCCGGCTGATGCAACATGACCGAAGTTTTTGTTTCGTATTCAAATGTCTTGTAGAGGTCGTCGTCTACATGTCGTTTCTTCGAAACACGGTCATAAAATAGCTCATTTTAGTGGCGGCACCAACGTTCGTTGCCGTCGAATCCAGCGTCCAGTGCTCTCTCCATCGCGCCGTGCCTTTGTGCACTAAACTTCAGGAGGGTGTGCGAGATAAAACATGTACATGTTGGACATAATGCACCGTAGTTCCAAGTAAGAATGCCAGGCAAAGAGGCGTTTCGTGTGAACCAGACAAGCACCATGAACCCGTCGTGTACGCAAAAGTGGTACGTACGTGTGCGCTGAACATCTTCGGTTGTCCTATGCATATGCATGTGCACCTGGCTGAGCAACGTTGTAGCATATATTTGAGGTGTCGCGTGTTGATAACCCCTTGCCTACCCATTGTCACTGTGGAGGCGGCATATTGATAGGATCCTGTTTCGAAACCTGCTTATCGAATGCCCCCGCCTCCTATCACAGAGAATGAAGAAACAACAGAAACACTGCTGTGGTGATGTCTCGAACGGGTTATCTTTCTCTCTACTTTTGATGTACATGTTGTATAAGACACGAGGAAAAGATGAAGAAGGTGGGGGGCGTACGAACTGTTGTATTTGCCGTCTGCGTAGAACCCTCTCTACGAACAGGGTTCGTGAGAGAGACAGCTGTGCAGCGACGATGTCGCGATGAACAACACCAACGCTTAGATTAGGAATACAAGCAGGGGATTGGGATTTGGACCGGAGCTGCGCGTATTTGCTCGTGGTGTTGGTCTAGCTTTGTCCAGCTCTTACGGCTGATCCCACCAACGCGACAATAGAGCAAAACGAGGCACATGATCGGAGACTCGTTACTCGCGCTTCGTTGCTCCAAAAGTGGTTGCCACATCGCCGAGCTCATATGAAGCGAGGAATATCTAAACCAGCGTGATCGAGAGCTGAATGAGAGGATACACAATTGACACGACACGATGTAAAGCTGGCAACGAAGGACCAAGAAGTTGCCCGAAGTGGATTACTGGCTTGTTTTACCCCCGACGAAGTATTCGGTAAATCATCTTAACGTGTCCCTGCCTCCCTCCCCCCCCCCCTGTAAACCGCCTCCGCCTATTGCGTTCAACACCGCCATGAAGGAGCTCTACCTCGACTCTAAGATCAAGGCATGTCTCCAGTGGAAGCAGGTCCACAGGATGGGACCGGGGCTCCGCAATCTGGGCAACACCTGCTTCCTTAACGCCACCCTGCAGTGCCTCAGCTACCTCCCCCCGCTGGCCCAGCACCTCCTCAATGGGTTCTACGGTCATGTGCGATGACGCCCTTTTTCGTCTTACTCATTTAGGGTGATTGCTGAAGGGCTTGAAGCCGTATCTGACGCGGCGGCAACTTTACCATGCAATGAAGCGGGAGTGAATGGCATTCACCCCTGCCTGTGGCACTACCGTACATACCACGTTCCGATTTTGTACAATTGTTTTGTGGTGTATATGTTGTCGCACAGGTTTCTGTGTTTTTGCTCTTCTTCCCCGGGTTTGCCAATAGAGACATATGGTGGTGTTGCTCAAGACAAGCAAAGAAAATGCCAGAAAATGGCCGCAGCCCTGCGAAATAGTCTTGGCGAAGAAAGTATCACGCATGTAGCGCAGTACTCCTTGCGGAGCGGTCTCTCACGATGGCCGTGTCTACTGCTGAGATTGAAACACGCGTATCCCGTGATATGCAGCAGCATTTTTTCCAAGGCCCCGGTAGCGACCCTTTATTTGTACTGAATCTTGATCACGGACAACGTGGCATACATACATTAGCAGGGCCCTCAGGGAATCGCTTCAAGGGGCCCCCGTCCAATGGGAGGCTTCCGGGAGTTCACGAAGGTGGAGATACTGGCGGCGATGGAGCAGCACACGAAGCAGGTCAGGTTGGGGGATGAGGGATGGGACACTAGCTATCCTCTTTCGGCCCTTGTTGTTGTTTTTGTTGTCGTTGTCGTTGTTGTCGTCGTAGTTGTCGTTGTCGTTGTCGTTGTTGTCGTCGTAGTTGTCGTTGTCGTTGTCGTTGTTGTCGTTGTCGTTGTCGGGTGTTGTCGTTGTTGGGTGTTGGTGATTGCGGTTCGCGGCGCTGTTTTCTTCTCCAACAAAGACGACCTCCTCAGGGTCCCGTATTATCATTCACACACACAACGCACTATCGGTAGAACCCGATGATGGCAAGCGTGTTCGCCTTATTATTGTCCCCCTGTGTGTGACCTCCCCCCCGGTGTTGTCATCGGGGTTGGATTTTCGTCGCTTGGCAACGACATTGTAAAGCAAGCCAATTCACTTCGTGAACTCGGCAACCAGGTTACCGTTTATTTTACCTCTTTTTGGCGGTAACCATAATGGTGGTCGAGTAGATCATGTTGTGCGGGGTGGAGAACCCTCACTCCGCGCAAGGGGGATGATCGCACCACGTTGTGTTAAAATGGTCAAGCACCCTCGAGGCAGTTGCACAGTGCTTACAACTGTCCCTGGAAGTGAAAGCACCAGAAAATAAATCAAGTCATACGCAGCTGTCATCCGTATGCAAGGAAGTATGCACAAGATGCCGAACACCCTTAGCAAGATGTAGGGCATCCTTTATGCGACTCGCCGAATACCTCACGGCGCTTCGCGCTTGGTGATGTGAGAGCCTGGTCCGGTGAGAACCCGGCGT